CCGCTTGTTTATCTTCAAGCCTTTAAAACCCCAGATGCTATATCTTTTGATAGCCAGGCACCATCAGCTTTCTTCACCACATTTGCTTATGCACCCATGTTGTCTTCAGTGATCATGTCGGGAAGGTGAGCATCACAGAATCCCGGATTATTAGAACTAAGTGTTCTTGTGTTGAGGGAGTACTTGACTCGAGGCCCAGTGTCCATCTGCAACCTTAATTCTTAACATATAGATATGAGTTCTTAGTTCCATTCCCCTATCGTTTTATGTATATTTACATATGTTCATGCCTGTATTAGACTTCTATAAATGCCCTTTGCCTGCTGGTTCTTTTCCCTATTTCCTTTTACTTTCCTCTTGTCATCGACTTGTTTTAATTTCCTTCAACTTCAACCTGACATGAACAATCAGTGTTCTATTCCAGTAAGTCCCTGGCCCTCACTTGGCTGCTGACTTTGAGCTTCTCCATCGTCTCTTCCCACAGATATAGTCAATTTGATTGTGTATTCAATTTAGTGAAGGCCACATGTACGTTGCCGAAAAAGGAATTTGCTATGAAGAAATTCAATCGTGAGATAGAAATCTCCAATTTATGTCTATCACCCAGGCCATAGTTTCAACTACACTTCCTTTCTCTTTGTTTCCAACTTTCATATTCCAATGGCAAATAATTACCAATCATCGTGATGACAAGTTTGATCAATTTCAGATGAACTGTAACTTGACACTGAGGCATTGTTGTTTATTTACTGTCATTACCTACTTAATATTTTATGTATACCTTATACACATATGAAGTTGCACTAATCTGATATACCAAAGACTATACCCACTGCTATGAAATCAGTAGCAACCCTGTAGGAAAGAGCAGAGGTTCTCCATAGGGTTACTAAGGTGGTAGAGCTTTGTAGAAGCAACCTGACCATCAGTCTCCCACAGAGCAGCTGGTGGTTTACATTGCTGACCTTTTGTTTAGTAGCCCAACACTTAACCCACTGGATCAACAGAGCTCCTCCTTGATAGGTCAAAGATGTAGAACATTTTTAGGTTGCCAGTGGGCTGGGTGTTGAGATACAGCTGACGGCAGTGCCAGTGGTTCAAACCCACCTGGCACTTTCCAGGAGAAAGACAAAGCTATCTGTTCCCATCAAGATTTATAATCTTGGAAACCATATATGGTCACAAGCAAGTATGTATATGGTCACTAAAAATAGGGATCAACTCAATGGCAGTGGGGTTTGTTTTGATTTTTTGGAATGCACTCTTATTTATCAAAAAATTATATGCACAATTTTTTAAAGGAGCTCAAGAATTCTTATGGGCACATCAATTAGGATTTTTAAATCTGTAAACTAGTGATATAAATTAGCCCATTCATTGTTACTTAGTCAATTCTGACTCCTGGCAACCGCTCATTTGACCCAGCAACTCTGTCTTCCATAAGGGTTTCAATAAGTGATTTTCAGAGGCATCTGAGGGGGGGCGGCGGAGGGGGGTGTTGAGCTTCCAATCTCTAGGTTAGCAGCTGAGCATGTGAGCCATTTGCACCACCCGGGGACTCTTCACATGATCATGCACATCTTGATGAACAGAAATTGTCTTCTGCAAGGATGCAAGTAAGCTGCATCACGTGTACAGGTGTTTATGGTTGGGGGTTGGGATAATTCATTTGGATCTGAATATGTGTTTCTTCTCCTATCTTTTTCTATTTAAGCAGGTAGTCTGGCTGTGAACTCCCATCTGCAGAGTATGTTTTGGTTCGAAACCGAATCCTAAGTAACCCCACACTGGCTGTGGTTCTTTAAAGTAATGAGCTTCTGGAGGGATGGGGGCAAGAGGGCCATGAGGAAGGCAGCAAAAGGAGGGACCTTCAGGAAGTGGTTCAGTGGGGGAAGCAAGGGCTGCTGACCACAAGAAGGGAACAAGAAAGAAGGAATGAATCTGGGCATAGCCCCCCAGCCCACCCCCACACACACCAGGGCTTCAGACCATGTAGGTTTGGACCACACACGCTGCCCCGTAACTGAACACCAGCAGAACTTCCCTGTGCCCAGGCGTTGCTCACTTTTGAGATGAGACCTTGGCACATTCCTACAGGGTGCCAAAGAAACGCCAATAATGACCAAGAGTAAATTCTTCCCAGCTAAATTTCCAAGACAAGGGTTAGAGCCCAGTTTAATTGGATTTTTAAAATAATGTCAAAGGTGCAATTTCTTGCTGATTCCAGTTGTTCTCCACAGCTACACCCAACTCAAACCAGCCCTGGTGGTCTAGTGATTACAAGTTGGGCTGTGATCTGACTAGTCAGCAGTTCAAAACCAGCAGCCACTCCTCCGGAGAAAAATGGGGCTTTCTTCTCTCATACAGGGTTACAGTCTGGAAGCCCATAGGGGCAGTTCTACCCTAAGTCCACATTGACTCGATGGCAGTACAGTTAAAGACACCCAACTCACAGGCCCAGCGTAGATACATCTCTTGCAGTAACTGGGAAATTTGTAATATTTCCTCGCAACCAAAGTCCCCATTTTCTCATCTTCCAGGGACAATCATAGGAAAGATCCACACACACGGCATGATTGTTGAAAGGTAGACAGTATTTAAGATTTTTTTATATTTATTACTTATGAGCTGGGTAACCCCCTCCTCTTCCTTGGCTTAAAAAGAGGCAAGTCTTAATGTAGATAACTTTTGCAATAATTAAAAAAATGAATCAGAGGAGTTGGAGGTAACACATTGACTCTCCTGTCAGACCAGGGAAGCTGTTTAGGACTTCTTGATTCAACTGCAGTTTTGGAAGAGGTAGGAGACAGATGCTGCGTCCCTTAGCACTAAGGTGAACATGTGACTTCTACAAAAGTGACGCTGTCTCTATCCATTCCTGTTTGTATTCTGAAAACAGCGAGTTCATGGACATTCTCATAACTTCATAGAGGGAGGAATTATAACCAGAGCAGCTTTCCGATGCAAAATATGCATCTATAAATTGATATAAATTACTTGACATAGATGCTCTCTTGAAAAAGCGGTGGAATATTCCAAGGCAAGTCTTAAATTTTATGAGATTAACAGCGTGGCTTCAGAGTAAGAAACTGTCTCCTTGCGGATAAATACACGGGAACTCAAGCTTTCAAATTTCTATGCATAATTAATGCTGCTGTGGATGGAGCGGCCCACCTGGGAGTCTGTGGATCTCTACATTATTTATGAACTTGAAACTGACCATGGGCATGTTTTCTTCTCAGCTGCTGCCTTGCTTTTCTAATGCTATTGCATGCACTGTTTGCCTGTAGCATTGAGAAGCTGGTGCAAAGAGACCACATAACATTTCCAACATGAAGTAATAGCTACCCAGGCAATTCTTAGCCACTTCCTTTGGAGACGACCGGCCTAGACATAAGCCTATAGCTCTTAATTAAGTCATAAAAGGAGCCTCATAGTCTCACATACGTCCTTTGATCGCTTTGTCGAGGGAGAAAATACATTTGGTGGAGTCATATTTTCACATACCAAACCATCTTCCTGCCAATGGATGTTAGACATAAAAGAGTACTCAGAATCCTAAGTGGCCAGAGTGCTAGCCTTCTCCTCTCTCCCGCTCTCTCTCTCTCTCCCAGCTCCGTCCCGTACCTTTTGTTTTGAAGGCGAAGTTACAGAGCTTGCAGACATAAGGCCGGACATCGGTATGAGTGCGGATATGCTTTTTGAGCATGCTTGGCTTCTTACAGCGAATCCCACATTCCTCGCAAATGTACTTTCCACGTCCACGTCCTCTAACATATACGTAGTCTTCATTTGATTTATACCTGGTAAAAGACAAGGGGAGGGGGACAGACACTTTCAGGGTGGCGCGTAGCAAACCGAGAGCCAATTGTTTGCATGGTAAAGGGTCATATTCAACTTTACTTCTGTGAAGCCCACACGCTCCATTTAGGAACTACCTGGGAGAACTAGCTAGCTCAGGCACTTCAAGCCGAAGGCCCTTCTCCCTATGAATGTCCTTGTGCTGAGCCATTGCCTCCCCCAGAAAAACACGGGCTTCAAAATGGATGGGGGTCCTCCTAGGAAGTGTAAATATGTAGACTCAGGATATAGATGGTACCATCAGCTTATTGCCTTAAATGAGTTACCGTCGTCCGCAACTTTTGGCTCTTAGCGTCATCTCCAATCAAGAGATCTCAAAAGGCACTCCCCCCCCATTTGAATCATCACACATCCTTTATTAGTATCTTATTATTTAAGATGTGAACACACAACACACACCTCTAGGTCTGATAAAATAAATATGACTGACATACTGCAATCTATGATAGATCATATGATGGTTGAGCAAGGAGTGCTTTTTTATACTTTTAAAGTATATTTTTATATACTCTGCTTTCTTATATTCCTGGCATGAGAACCCCTCAGACAACGTCTCGCTTACACAGACTGATTGTTTGTGTTTACTGATCTGAGCTGTTCTTCCCAGGACCACGAGTCTGCTCCAAACTGGAGTCTAAATTTCAACTGGCTTCCTGGAGGTACATAAGAAACCTAGCAAGTCTATTTTTCCATCAAATTTGCATTTCTTTGCAGAATCATTTCATAGGGAGTTTTCAGAGAATGTCTGAGGTCGTCAAAAAGCCAAACCAAACATGTTGTGCGTTCAGAGTTTATTCTGACTCATAGTGACCCTATAGGACAGGGTAGACTGGCCCCATAGGGTTTCCAAAATCATAAACCTTTATGGAAGCTGACTGCCACTTCTTTCTCTCACTGGGGGGCTGGTGCTTCAAACTGCCAACCTTCCAGTTAGCAAATGAGTGCTTAATCATTGCATCATCAGGCTCCTCTTTTTAAGTCATCCAACGTAGTCACATCAATTGGATAAATTCGTAATTCTTTATTGAAATACCAAGGCAATTATCTACTCCTTGCTCAACCATCTATCATAGATTGCAGTAGCATATAACTAATTAACTCACTGATGATCATAATCCCTTAAATCACAGCTAATTTGGAATTATGGGTCTAGTATCATTCTTGGAGAGAGAATTCTTTGGAGGAGTTCTTTTCCCTTATTTTAAAAGGTAAAATGACATAGTAGGATATCCTAATTCACTGTGGATTTACCAAAAGTCACTAGACTCACTCACTGCCATGGAGTCGAGTCCTTGCATAGCAACCGACAGGGCACAGAGAACTGCCCCTGTGTGTTCCCAAGGCTGTACATCTTTACAGCAGTAGGAGAGACAGCCTCAACTTTCTCTTTCAGAGCACCGGGTGAGTTCAAACTGCCAACCTTGTGGTGAGTAGCCAAATGCATGATCACCAGAGCTCCTTTAAAAGGCACCTATACTTAATAATTTTTAAAAAATCAAGAGCAGTAGCAACTTCTTTGTCTTAGGAAATTCATCACCAGAAATAAAAGCAAGCTCAATTTCAATAACTCGATCCATTGAAAGAGTGTTAAGGGAGAAAGTCTAATTAGGTGAACTGCTAACTATGTTATGGATGCTATTTAACCAGAAAATTTGTCAAAATAATTAAAATATAAGTTTAGCTAAGTGACTACATCTATAAATGAGATAAATACATAGAATGCATACTTAAAAAACAAGGTCAGTAGTACTTCAATCGTTCACAGAAATTAGGTGAACGCAAGCAGGAGGATAAGGGGTGGTGATAGGCTGCTTGAAACAAACTTCTGGCCAATCCCAGGTGGAAGGTGGATCTTACGTTAAGAAATGGGTGGGAGCTGGCCCATATCAATGCAAGGAGGAGGGAATGAAATATGGCCACACTCCTTGGGCACCATCGAAACACAGCAATAAAATATTCACATACGCTTTTCCACTTGTGTCCTTCCTTAGTGGTAGTGGAGATGGGCTCCCCAAAGCATACAGTAACTGTGAGGATCTCACTAATCTAGTGGTACAAATGCACTGCTAGGGAGAAGCTGCTGAATGTAAGAGTGTTGGTTCACTCACAGGGACCTCTCAGTCTCTGGGGAAAGATAAAAGCTCCATTTCTCTCATTTGTGTTAAAAGATGAGGGATGACAAAAATTATTCATTGAGACAAGCTTCACAGACTATATACAACTGTGGTTTGTAGGGCGAAAGCAATAGGTCCATGAAGGGGGCAACATCTAAGGGGGGGTGCAACTTTAATATCCATCTCCAACAGGGTAAAATTCAATGATAAAGTGGTACTTTATCTCACGAAACAGTCAACATATTATAGGCAAGCAAGTAAAGTTATGTTGTTCTCCAAATATAATTGGATAATCTCATGCTCGAAAACATGGATTTGTTGTAGAGCTAAGGCTAACTATCTCATAATCCTCCACATGAGGCTAATGTGTTTTAACATTTAAAAATTTTAAAGCCTATCCTTGGGCTTCTACTTCCATGGGGCTGGTCTGAAGATACGTTTGTTTACATCCAAACCGAAACCTGCAAGGTACTGAACAGGTATGTCATTTTTCTTAAGGTACATAGATAGCTAAGCCACTGGACTCATTACTTGAGTTCTGTACATCTGAACTCAACATTAAGGAAGAAACTCATAGACTGAGGAACAGTCAAAACCAGAGGAGACTGAGGAGGCTTGAGAGTTACTGTATATACTCGTGTATAAACTTGAGTTTTTCAGCACATTTTCAATGCAGTTTTTGTGATAAAATTAGGTGCCTCAGCTGATTTTCGGGTTGGCTTATACTCCAGTATATACGGTAAGTTCCGAGGGATCCTGGATAGAGGAGAGTGATGGGCAAACTGGCGCCATGCTAATGAGGTCTGAAGTGCAGGTAATAATCAAAGCAAATAGGCAGATAAACGAGCTCACTCCGGATGATTATCCCTGACTTCATTTTGGTAAGCACGGCATAAAAACATGTCCATAAACACAACAAATGGTCATAAAATGTCATTAATAGACAAACACAGAGGACATGAAGATCTCCGCAATTTAGTTGACGGGGAGCTAAATACAAAGGGTGAAAATTTAAGGGGAGAAGCCCAAACCCCATAGAACAGGGGCATTTTCGGTACAAGCCAGTTATCAACGAAAAGACATGATCACAGTACCTGTTACCAGCCAGACTTCTGAAATGTTCAGAGAAAGGGAATTCATTTTAAGCATCCAACCAGAGAACATGCTACGTTTTCCATGCAGATACCGATTGCCATTTACTCTGACTTATATCTGAACACTGTACATTTCTTTGCACTTATGTTTTCTTACCCTCCTTCAAAAATTTTAATTCGGATTGGCTCAGGTTGTTTGGATCCGATATCTTTATCGCCGTGGCTATCTCCTTTCCCTCTTTCCTTTAAGATATTTCCCACTAGTTTCCTTTCTAGTTTGCTGCCAAATAAAAACGATGCATCAGGTTTCATCTGTAGGACAGAAAGAGAGAATCATTTAACATGCTTACTTTAAGACAAACGATCAAGAGCAGCTCACACACCCCATACCCTACTCTTCCCTCAGCTCGGAAATGAAGTCCAAAGCCCATGCAAAAGGCCAGGTGCTGGTTACAGAAAATACAGGACAAACCTAAACCTATTGTCATTGAGTCCATTCTGACTCAGTGTGACCCTACGTAGGGTTTCTAACACTGTGAATTACTGACGGGAGCAGACAGCTTCGTCTTTCTCCTACGCTCCAACTAGTGGCTTTGAACAGCTGATCTTGTGGTTAGCAGTCCAGAGCCTGAGTTGGGATAGATTCAGAATGTGGCACTATCCGTAGAATACATTCCACATTTCATTACAAAGATAACCGGGTACCACTTAATTTGGGAAAGCTAATAAAAACATACTGAGACATACTGTATATCTTGAAATTCATACTTAAGGAAATACTCCCCAAAATCACTTAAGGGAAAACACATTTTCAAATCCTCCAATGGCTTCATTCACAATTTAGCATACATTTCAAAGTACCCTTTATAAATATTTTTACTACATTACATGTAAAGTATCAGTTGTTCACGGCAGAACAAGTCAGATAATTAAAAAAAGATAATTTGGGGGGAGGGAGAGTTTTGAAAGATATATAGAAAATCAGTGCCAGGGGAAAGTTACCAACAAGGAGAATAAGCCCTCCAAAGTTCTCCAAGTTCAGTGCTTCCATCCTGATCCTTCCTCTCAGTATCCAAGCCCTGGCACTACAGCCCTATTTCACCAGTCCCTGAATCCCTAACATCAAAACAATACATGTCCTGGGTCCCTAGCCCAGGCCAGAAAGGAGAAGAACCCAAAGGTGTTCTCCCCTGTGCAGAATTTCCTGGATCGCAGGCAAAGGCAATACTGAGTCTTTGGCGTTTCTTCTGGGGCCTCCTAAGGACGTGTGCAGTCAGTGGTCTCTCTCACCCACTGTAAGGGTACTGCTCGGGATTCCTGCAGCTCTGACCTGGCTCTTACTGGTATGTCTGAAACCTGAGATGCTTCACTTAGCAATGTCGGCTAAGCCATAAAATCCGAAACCCAGAGTGCCTTCCAAAAAGACGGTTACCTGAGCAAACTGTTTCCACGCACTTGATGATGTCAGCTTGCCGGTTCCAGGTCTATGCATAGCAGCCAGAGTATAAATTTCGGTGGTAATTTTTTGCTTCGACCTCAGAAGTGCCAGCGTGGTCTTGGTGTTCAATCCCGAGGGGTTTGGGTTACAGGAACTAATGCACCATGAAGCATACACTGAGGATTTGAAGGTGGTTTGTTGCACATAATTGGGTTTCGTATAATTCAAGAAGCACCAACTCACAGTAGTTGTTGTCCGCAGACTGGGGAACTGAAGAATCTGCTGGAAATCTGCCACATCCGTGAAAAGAAGAGTCGAGTTTGACACTTTTCCACTTGGGCCAGATGACATCTGGACCAGCATGCCAACAGGCGGCTTCTGGCCTTTGCCTTGGCCTTCAGGCTGGCCGTCTCCTGGTGGCAAGGAAGAGCTCTGTGGACTCATGCTCATTTCGGATGCTGTCTCATCAATCTCTAACTCATCCGATGACTCTCTGCTTTCCGAAGGCCCACTGGACCTCTGCCTGGCCGGTGGTGCCCTGGAACCAGACCGCATCTCCCTGCTGGCTGGGAATGGCTCCCCGGAAGGCGTGCCCACGGACGGGTGGTCTTGTGACGAGGAAGGTGACAGTGAGGAGAAGGAAGATGACCTTGACTGGGAGCCGTCCTTGGGTTCGGAAGCACAGCCTTGTCTAACCAACTGTGGCTTCTGTGGGCGGGAGAGATCCTTTTTGATATCGGAGCTGGTCAGCTCCACGGCGCTGAGCTCCTCCACGATCTGTCCGTACATCTTTTCCTCCTTCACCCTTTTCTGCTGCTTGGTTTCCATGAAGAGCTCTAAGCTGCTGGCTGGGGAAAGCATGCGCTTGCTACCGCCAAGGGTGGCGACGGTGTCCGAGGTGGAAGGTAAACATAAGGGGATTGAGGATTCCAAGCCGAGGGGTAAGGTCTGAGGTACTTTCCAAATGGGGTATTTTTCCAAGCCTGCGTGCTGCCCTAACACCTGGGCGATGTTAAACCCGATTCCCTGCATGGCTGCGTTCGTTACCAGGGTTCTTTGTGTCATGTTCTCGTCAACTTTGCAGATGACAATCGCAGGGCTGTTCGGCCCAAGTATCTGAGAAATGCTTGTGTACATGACGCTCCCGTACGAGGGTACGTGGGTCTGGATCCGAACGGGAACCACTGTTCCTGGTAAGGACTGTAAGGGCCCACTGCTGGCCGAGGCAAACTCCTCTGGGAACAGCGGCTCGGAGGGCGCATCTGTTGACCTCGGGCTGGAGTCGGAGGGTAACTTTGGAAGGCTCTTTGAGTGTAGCCCTGATGTTCCCGAGTAACACGGGTAAGCCTGCTCTTTCGCGTGTGCATAATCCGCAGCTTTCTTTCCAGTGTGCTCTGAGACGTGCTCTAAGGGGTAGCTCGAATGGATTTCTGCCTGGAACGGGGGTTTGCCATAGCTCTTCTGAGGGTGCGGAGCAAAGGGGGTTGGGAAATGAGCCTGCCACCAGGGAGGCTGCTGAGCGGGCAGATGGACCATGCAGACAGTCGGATACTGGAACTGAAACAGGGCGCTCTGGAGCGGAGAATACGGGATCGTCTCTGGACGTGGAAACAAATGCGGTGGCTCGGACCCGTGCTTGCTGGCGATGTAGGACGTGGGTGGCACCAAGGGGCTTCTCAGAGACTCCTGGCTGTCCACGTGCATGATCTGTTGCTGGGCCAGGTGCAGGGACCCAGAACCCAGCGGAGCACTGGGACCCGGGGCCTGCTTCCCGGGGTCATCGGCTGGCAGGGGCGGAAGCATGGCGGACGGGCCGTGGTGCCACATGGATCGGAGGCCGGCGTGCAGGTGCTCCATCTGCTCCTGCTTCACGCTTTGATCCGCACCAGCCTCACCCTGGGCGATCTCCGGGGAACCGCTGAAGGACGCCTGCCGGACCAAGAAGCATTTCTTCCTCTCTCGGGACGGCGACAACACTGCGGCCGAGGATGGGCCCGCCACGGGAGCATGGGACAAGTTTCCGTAATCAAAGGATTTGCTGCGGATCTCTGGGACCTCGGCTGGGTGCGGGCAAGGCATCTGCTCGGAGGAGCAGCGCCGCATCTCTTTCTGGTGGTGGTGACCAGGGACAGACAAAGAGTAGGCGCCCGCGGGGACGGTCAGGAACTCAGAATGCTTCCCCAGCTCGTCGGGCCTCGCAGGCGCCCCCAGCTTAATGCTCTCCTCTCTTTCAAAGGACATGGAGAAGCTGGAGCAGTGCGATAAGTTGCTTTCCTGGCTGGGGCTGCGGGAGAGGCCGGTGCCCGTGGACTCGAAGCTGGACTCGCCGGAGGAGTGTTCCATGTCTGCGAGTCGCAAACGCTTCTTTTTGGGCGGCAGCTTCTCGGCTGGCAGCTGGGAAAGGGTCTCGCTTCTCTGCGGCCACTGGAATTCCTCCACGGGCTTTTCTGGTTCCTTGCTCTGCGCTTCCTTCTCCTTCTCGGGCTTATCAGGCTCTTCGGTCACCCGGATCTCGGGGACTTGGATGTTGTGCTGGCGAACCAACCGAGGCTGCGCGTGGTAGGGCTGCTGCTGCCCCCGCTGAGAAGGCGGCGGCTTCCCCCCGCTTTCGGCACTCTCCCCCTGGGCAGCCCACTCGGGACTCACGGGCGCCTCGGAGACCTCGCTGTCCCCGGCCTCGGAGGGTGACGAGGCTTTATCGGGTGCGGAGGCCGCGAGTTCGGCCGACTCGGACCTTTCAAAGGAGTTAGGTCGGCTGAGCGAGTTCGTGTGCTGAATCACAGAAATCACGTTTCCCGGAGGCTTCCGGCCTCCTAGGTCGGCCACCTTGTCTGGATCGGCGGCGGAGGGGGCCTCCTCGGACCCAAGGGAGAGACTTGCAGACGGCAGCGGGGTGCCACCGGAGTCAAAGCGCTCGGGATGCCCATGAGGAGGGTTCTCGTGCCCGACCACGGCAAATGCACTCCTGCCTCCTTCCTGCAGTTGCAATTTGGGGTCATATTCTGACGTCAGGATGCCCAGGGGGGTGCTCACAACGCTGCTGCAAATCATGGGCGTGTCCTCCTCATCTCCCACGCTCTTCTCCTTGCGGCGCTTTCTGGTTTCACACGTCGCCCCAAACAGGGTGGGAACGCCTGGCAGCGGCACCGAGGACTCCATGAAATACTCGCCGCTGTGTTTCAAAGAACCCAAGCAGGCGATGTCCCTGTAGCTGTGCTTTGGGGTTTCCGAGTCCTCCCACTTCTTGTAGGGCTTCTGGCAGGTCTCATAGTCGTACCCAGGAATCAATTTCTTTTCCTTGGAGGATGAGCCTGGGAGACCTTTCGGCATCCTGGCATGGTGCTCTACCTCCACGTGCCCCTCCTGTACCGAAGGCAGCTCAAAGGCTGCCTGTCTTCTTAACATGCGCTGCGGGGGGATGCCCACCGTCCCCGGGTAGAAGACGTCGTCGGATCCCGTCATCCTTTCGTCAAAAGAGTGGCTGCCTCTCAGAGAAGGCGGAATACTTAGATTCGTTGCTGAAGAAGTGGGCATTGAGTTGCTTCTGATAAGGGGTGACGAGTCTATAGGTGCATCTAAGAGGACTGGGCTGCTGCCTTGGAAATTTGCTGAATAAAGTTTTCCTTCGTGCTGGGAAGGCCTGGTCTCGCTAATGAATTTGGGAGCTTTCAGCATGCCTGCTTGACTGGGGTCAATGTCTCCTTTGCCTGGGATCAGCTGAGATACAGGGTCTTCGAACATCTTGACTTCTAACCTGGTGTTTACGTGAGGTAATGATTCCATCAGGCCCTTCCTACCCAGGGCCAAGCTGTCCTGACTGGTGGGTGTAACACTGAGTGCATTTCTCGGACTGAGCCGACAGTATTTTCCGAAGATGATTTCTTCATAAGACTTTGCATTTGTGTTTGGAGGACTTATTTGCTGCTCTGCACTTTCTGAGCGTGAAAAGTAACCAGAATCAGTGCTTCCTTTACTGTGCGGGCTCAGAAGGTTCAGAGATGGCTCAGAATCTTGTCCTTTCTTCTCTGACAGTCTTAGTGCAAGTTTCTGTTTAACTGTGTGCGAGTCATCAGCTTTAACATTTAGAGACGGATTGGGTAGCATATCGGGACTGATGTACGGAGAGCTTTCACTCGACAATGGAATCCCACTTTTGGGGATAATCAGAATCGGCACCTTTATTGGACCTCCCAAGGACTCTTCCAGGGACCCATGATAGCTGCCCCTGCCAGCTATATCCAACGGGAGTGGTGGGCCGGGGCTCATTTTCTCCGAAGCCTCAACAAATAACGAACCCTCCTCGTCAGTGTCTGTACTCTGCTCACCATCTGAATGTATTTCTGCTTCTACATCAATAAAACCAGCCTCGAGGTCCAATTTAGATACCGCTGACTCTGTGAATGGCACCAACCCGGCCTTAATGGCATGGGCATGGGACTTCCTGTGCTTGTACAAATTGCTTTTTGTCTTGAAGGAGAAACCACATGGAATACACGGGTACGGCCGCTCACCAGTATGGGACCTGATATGCTTTTTCAGTACGCTTGGTTTGGCACACGCCCTGCTGCAGTAAGGACAGATGTACTTGCCGGGCTTTTTGGGTTTGTGCTCCTTCTTGTGAGCCTCTTCAGACTGGTCGATACTTTTCTGGGAGTATTGGCTATACGCAGGGTTCAGAGTGGATATCTTTTTTCTGGGATAGCCACCCCCGTGGCCGTGTAGCGGAAAAGGAAATAAGTCCTCGGAGGCGACAGATTGCAAATGGCCAGGGAAGAGCCACGGAGGGCCTTCTAGGCTCTGATGGGGCTTGTTGCTGTGCATGACCCCCTGTGGCAATGAGTGCTGAGGAAAGGGGAGTGAGTGTTGGCATGAATAAGGACTCGGATGGTGCGGGGGATATTGCTTCTCGGGGACTTGCTGGGCCACTTCACCGGTTGATGTCAGTTTCCCAGAACCAAAGAGTTGTGCTGACGCCGCGTTTCCAATTTGCTCTGGATCGATTTGCGGTTGCCGCTGCTGTCCCTCTGGACTGCCAAAAGTGCTCATCTTCACAGCTGATGGCTCCTGTCTCCATCTACCTGATGCTTTCTCAGTTTCTCCAGACCTTGAGGTAGCTTTGTGTCCTAGAGCTGTGTCCCCACTGTCCATTTTGTTACACACGGTCTTAAGTGCTAGTTCACGTGCAAGCCCTGCAGACTCATGGAGCGTCTCCCGGTGCTGTGCTTTAGGAAAGCTTGGGTGCGTCCATTTTCCGGGGTGTCTGCAGAGGGGTTGATGCTTCTTCCTCTTTGGAAACTTCCACTCTCATATGGGAGTCTATGAGCCTTCGATGATAATGTCCTTGAACAGGGGCTATAACACAGTTCTCTCCATTGCAGAAGCATCCATCTGAAAGCTAAGTGCAAATCTATAAAGACTTCTTATGGCATTTGAATCTTTTTGACTAGGGTGAGTGGGAATGAATAGTCTGGGAGAAGTTTTGCTCATCAACTAGAGCAAAGTTGGATTGCCAGTTTCACTAAGATGGAATGACCTGCAGAAAAAGAAAATACAAAGAAGCGGTCAGAAGAGTTATCAAACCGGAATTCAAAATCAACCTGAACTAACCAGACAGGAATTGGGCAAACTGAAAGTGTTTTTTACTTCAAAGACTCTTTATGTGGCCATTAAACTAGTTACGCTGCTGTATTGTCATTGTTGTCTGCCATTGACTGAATTCTGACTCACAGGGACACCATAGGACAGAGTATACTTGCCTCCACCAAATTTCCTAGGCTGAAACCTTTGCAGGAGCAGACTACCGGATGGCTAGTGAGCTTGAGTGGCCACACTTTCGGTTAGCAGCCAAATGCTCAACCAGTGTGACATTCGTGGCACTGCTAGATTATATGGATTTTAGTGTTAAATCCAAAGTATAAATTTCTCCTTGCCTCTTTTAGAAACTGCGCAATTTTGGTACAAAAAGTAATTTTGAGGAAGCCTTTTTCTAAAGGTTTTTTATTTTTTTAAAATTGTATAACTTTAATTAAAATACTCCCAGCACTGATTTTAACCAAGTTTCATGACTTTCACAGTAAAGTCCACCTGCTATATTGTATGGTTTAAAAGGAGCGAACGGTACAGCCCGATCAGGGCTACAGAATCAAGGACTATTAGGGAGTTTTGGAAAGGCAAAAGAGCACATCTAAAGAAAACAAATCGGAAGCCTCTCAAATTCAGGAAACAAAATATAGCCAAAGGGGCAGCTTAAAAATGAAATGATAACTCTCTCAAATGATAGAGACACCAATCCCTAAGCCTAATGGATCTGGTCTATGGTCCCCGGGGAAGACCAAAGTCAACTGTCATTACGTAGTTCACAAAGACAATGTCCTACAACCTAACAGGAGGAGGAGTAACTAGGGTCTTGAAAATCCCTTTGAGCAGCATCTAAGGTACAATTACTGGTGTTTTCCTGTCCAGAGGAAAGAAGAATGATGAAAATCAAAAGACATATGGAAATGATTATTCCAGTGGACTAATAAAACCCTCAAGCCAAGTCTCTACAACTCGGTACAGAATAACTAGATAGTATCCAGCTACCACTACCAACTGCTCTGGAACGGATCACATTGGAATGTCCTGGATAGAAAGGGGCAAAACGTGGACCCAAACTCCAAGTTATAAAAGAAGCCAAGCTTTCTGATCTGATAACAGAGAACGGTGAGACCCTCTAAGACTATGGTCCTTACCCTTCGGCCTGGAGCTGAATGCCCTTTACATTAGAATAATCAACCATTTTAAGATTAAAGGGGAAATCTTTAGCTGGGGACAAGTTTAGCTGGTTAGAAAAGAAGGAGGAATGATGGAAAAAAGGGAAACACAAGGAAAAAGTAAGATAAAATCCATTGCAGTGGATGAGTTGAATCAAAATGTGTTTAAAATGATGAATGTAAAACTTTGATCTGTTCTGTGAGTCTTCAACAAATCCTCAAAAAAAAGTTTTAAAAAGTAGTAAGCAAAAACAAAAATGAAATTATTACCTGAATGATCTAGCGTTCTCATGGGCATGATTGTCCTGATGCTTCCTGGGAACAAAAGGAAAGTAGTTAGGAGAAATTGTTCATTAAGATTGCTAGATATATTAGTAGGTCAAAGAATATTGCTCCAAAATCACAGAAATCCTTATTAAACAAAAATATTAGCTAATAAAAAATATTAGTATGTATCAGCATATCCTGTCTAGGTCTGTACACTTCTGAAGGCAGTATTTTCATCTCTTTAACCATTTACCACCAAATTCTGAACTCTGTAATGTACACCAAATCTAAAGAGCCATTTTGGTTTCCTCAAAGGACTGACATTGCGTTTA